CCCGCGCCGCTCCGCCCGGATGGCCAGGGCTGCGCCCGGGAATGGCGGAGCGAGAGAGCGGCGGCCTGGGCGGGGGGGCCGCGTCCCCGCCCGCCGCCTCCCCGTTCCTGGGGCTGCACATCGCGTCGCCGCCCAATTTCAGGTGAGCGTCCCTGGCTGCGCGCCCCGCCCTGGGCCCGGCCCGGGCTGCCTCGCACCCCTGAGCCTCACGGCAGCGGCGGGGCGACTCGGCCCTTCCCAGGACCGGGTGCTTCCTGGCACCCCCAGCCTCGGGTCCACACTGAGCCGCTGCATGTTCCTGCTGCAGCTGCTCCGCCATTGCACGGCCTGGGGGGCTCTCAGCGGGGGTGGCGTTCGCAGGCCGCCCTCTCTCCGACGCTGCGGCAGCAGCTGGGGTCCGGATTGCCACCTGCAGTGGTCCAGACTACAGATGGCCCCAGATTCCCGGGTAACAGACAACCCTGGTGCTGGAAGCAGGGAGTCGTGGCCCCTCTGCAGGTGGGCCGAACAGCGAGTCTGGCACCGGCGGGATCCGCTGTGGACTTGGGCAGTGCCCACCTGGCCAGGTGTGCAGGGCAGGTGTGGAAGGCTCAGGCCTCCCGGGGACTCCTAGTCAGACGCGGAAGGGGAGTCTTCGAGGAGTAGACAGGGATATGGGGAGGGGGCGAGTACTGGCCCCCTTGTCCCCCCCATCTGATGTGAGGGCAGGCGGATTTCACAACGTAGGGACGATGCGGGGTGGGGTGGGAGTGGAGATAAATGCCCCCGCCCCTCTCGCCCCTGCTCCCCACTGGGGAGGAGGGTGTCCCATCTCAGCCCCGGATGAGGGCACGGTGACAGGCCCCATTGTTTCCCCATTCAGGAGCTGGCACCTTCCCTCTCCTGGGGCCCCTGCCCCAGCCAGGCCGCAGCTGGGCTCTGGCGCCAGCCCCTCCTCTGACCAGGGGGCCTCTGGAGGCCAGACGCTTAGGTGGTCAGGGCCCCCGGGCTGTCTAATGCCATCATCAGGCCCAGAGACCTCCCCAGAGGCCTTGAGCCCAGCTGTGAGGACTGGAGGGAGGGGCCTCGGGCTGCAGCCTTCAGAGAGCCCTGGAGGGCCGAGGGACTGCCTGGGAAGGACCTGGGTTCTAATCCTAGCTTGGCCATTTTTGCACTGCATGACCCAGCGCGGTTTTGTCCTCTCTGGGTCCCATCTGTTAAGTGGGCTAATTAATATTGATTCCTGCCTGGAAAGGAGCCTGCCCCTGGTCAACAAGTGCCAGCCCCCACACTGGCTGAGAGCAGTTCCAGGGCTGACTCCACTCACCCACAGCCCCTGGAGGTTGGGGGAAGGGCTTGTGGGAAGGCCAGGTCTGGGACTATATGCTGAGGCCCCTGTGGCTCCAGCTCTGCCCCGAGGCCCCATGGACACCTATGCCCCCTGCCCCCTGGCAGGAGTTGTCACACAGACTCCCCTGAAGAGTCACAGAGGCGGCCTGCAGCCTTGGCATGCACTTGCCAGCCCTGAGCAGGCAGGATGTGGGGGGCAGGAGGCCAGAAGCTGGGGCATGGGCTGGCCCTCTGGGACATCGTGGCCTGGCCATCTGGGCCTATGCGTGGGAAGAATGAGGCTCAGTGTCTCAGGCCCAAGCGACTGTGCACTGCTCTTGCTGCCCTTTGTCCCGTGCACTTCTCAAAGCCCCTGGCCCAGCTCCTGGGTGACCACAGTGTCTCGTGACTCTTTGCTGGAGCTACCCACTGGCCTCAGTTTCAGTCCTGCCCTATCCTGTTCTCCTTCTGAGCTGTGTGCCCCGAGGCTGCGCACTTAACCTCTCTGAGCCTTTGTTTCTTCTTCAAGAAGCCAGCTGTGACCCCTGCTCAGGGTGTTCTTGACACTCAGAGGAGACAACGCACATTGAGTGTCTCAGAGGGCTCATGGGCACACATGAATGAACCCCGCCTCCAGGACCATTCAGCTCCCAGGAGGTGACTGGTAGCCCCATTGTCCATCACAAAAAGAGTGCTTAATAATGGCATATTGGCATGCAATGTCATTAGGGATAAACTTTTACTCACCCAGAGAGTACAGAGTGACAATGGTGTTCTAAATTCTAAAAGTCACCAAGTGTGGTGGCACACACCTGTTGTCCCAGCACTTGGAAGGCTTAGGCAGGAGGATCGCCATGAGTTCAAGACCAGCCTGGGCTACGTAAGTGAATGCAAGGCCGGCCTGAACTGCATAGCAAGACCTTGTCTTAAAAAAAAAAAAAAAAAAAAAAAAAAAAAAAAAAAAAAAAAAATCTACAAGTTTTGCCAGCCAAATGTAGACATCCAATGTAATCCCTGTGCTGGGAAGCTGAGCCAGGAGGATTGCAAATCAGAGCTCAGTGCAGGCAGCTTAACCACTTAGCAAAACTCTGTTTCAAATTTTGGAATATGTTTTAAAAGGCTGGGGATGTAACTCAGTGAGAAGAACCTGGATTTGATTCCCAATACCACAAATAAAATAAAATAAAATATATTTTTTAATTTTAACGTTTTCTTTATCACATATCCATGTAGAGAGAACATTATTATTATCCACACTTTTCAGATGAAGAAACTGAGGTACAGAGAGGTTGGGTAAACAATAGAGCCAGGACCCGAGCCCAGTCTCTACCCTAGTCGGGGATTGAACTCAGGCCCTTGCACTTGCCAGGCAAGCGCTTATTCTACTGAGCCATCTCCATGGCCCATCAGTCTCTACCCTGAGAGAGTACTGGTGAAGGGGAGCAGTTGGGCCAAGGGGTGAGCCCAGTGTGGCCCCCAAAGGGTGGGATGTCTGTATGTATTAGTTGGCTTGAAGAACTATGTACCTGTGTTTTTTC